GGTCACAATCTTTGATCTTCAGAACTCTAATAGATTATGTGGAAGTTGGGTTTTGGTGTTTTGATTATATGGATTTGATATTTTCAATGACTTTGATTGAATCAAAAGAGATTGAGCTCCTGTTTGGTGCACATTTTTTAGCCAAGAATACATTTTTTTTATTTGATGAGGAATATATGGTTGAAAAATAAGGAAAAGTTATTGATGTGATGAAAAATATTATTTTATTGAAGAATGTGTGGTTAGAAATGAGTAAAAGAATGAGAATGAAAAAAATAATGTGACTCAAACATGGGCTGAATAATGTATAGGATGTGATAAAAACAATCTCTTTTTCGACCTCTCTTTTCACAAAGTAAGACTTGGTATTTATAGTATTTAGGTTTAGGAGTAGTATAGGATATGTAGGATTCTCGAAAAACGTAAATTAAGATTTCATGATTAGCACTGTCGCTCGAGTGAGAGTCCAACTACATGTGCTCCTTTCGAGCAATAGGCTAGTGACAAGCTAGCGAATGTATTTTTGTTTTAGATGCTCGCGCAACAACTTGCTAGCAAACTAGCAAAAATCCGGCAACTTTTTCTTGTTGTTCTATAAGTGAACACAAAGACTCCCAAACCATCTATATAACCTACCAAACTACCCTTTTGACTTTTAAAAATCTTTTAAAACTATATTTTTGTCTAAAAATTGCCAAAAACTATAAAACCTAACAAACTACCCCTTTGACATTCCGTGACAAAAAACATATATTACAAATCTAAGAAAATCAAACTAAACTACCCAAAACCAACTGACTCAACTGCAGCTTGCTTTTTCTTTTCTTGTCAAACCTGTTTCTTGAAAATAACAACTAAAATACCAAGTATAAAAGCACGTGAAACAATAAAAGAAATAAAAGTTGCTGAGATAGTTATTAATAAGCTCAAAATCATACTAGCTAAATTAAGATGCAATATTAATATTAATCAACACACAAAAAAAAAACATCGATATCACTAAACATCAAAACTTAATCCAGTTAAGCAGGAAATATAAACATCTACATCTCTACCTACTCCCTCTTTTTGTCACAAATAAGAAA